AAAGGGAGACTGGCAAGAAATTGAAGGTGGTTCGATCTGACAATGGTGGTGAGTATTGCGGCCCATTTGATGCATACTGCAGAGTGGCCGGGATCCGACTTGAGAAGACGCCCCCCAAGACTCCACAGTTGAATGAACTTGCTGAGAGGATGAACAGGACTATTGAAGAGAAGGTCCAAAGTATGATATCCAATGTCGGATTGCCTAAATCATTATGGGGAGAAGCCGTCAGAACTGCTGTTGACTTGATCAACCTCTCACCATCACGGCCACTTGAAGGAGAAATTCCAGAAGAAGTCTGGACAGGTCGGAAAGCGGCCTATAATCAACTGAAGGTGTTTGGATGGCGAGCTTTCGTGCATATCCCTAAAGATGAAAGGGCTAAACCTGATGCGAAGACAAAAGAATGCATCTATCTTGGTTCGTCGAGATGTGAGTTCAGGTTCCGACTTTGGGATCCAATCAATAAGAAGATAGTGAGAAACCGAGATGTGATCTTTCATGAAGATGAGATCATTCATGACATCTTCGAAGCCTAAAGTTTGGGTTACTGTCAGACGTGAAGAACCCATCCCTCCTGTCCGAGCTGAAGCAGGGGGAGAAAATCAAGAAAATGAAGAAAATGATAACCAGTAACAAGCTGATGATGACCAAGACACTGAGGTCCGAGTTGTTGTTGAGATCCGGGATGAAAATGATGAACCGGGTTCTCAAGCTGAAAAACAGCCGAGATATCCAACTCGAGAAAGAAGACCCTCTACAAGGTACCCATCTGATGAATACACCGTTGTTGCTGAAGACGATGAGCCTCAGAGTTATGATGAGACTGTGACGAGCTCAGAGAAAGAAGAATGGGAAAAGGCAATGCAAGACGAGATGAGGTCTCTGCACGAGAATCAAACTTATGAGCTGACCAAGTTGCCTGAAGGAAGACGAGCACTGAAAAATAAGGTGGAGAGCTCAAACTCGTCAAAGTGCACACTGAACAAAATTGGTCCGACATGATGACAAAGCCGGTTCCAGCAAGGAAACTTGAAGATTGCTGCGAAGAAGTCGGGTTGATGCTGAAGCCGACGCATTTAAGTCGGAGGGGGAGATTTTTTGGGCTTCCTCCTTCAATGCTAAGCCCAAGCCCATAGAAGGGTTTCCTAAAAACCCTAAACCCTAGATCTCACCTCCTTTATATATTCATTAGTTGTGGGTGGAGGCTAGGTTAGAAAAGGAAAAATATTTGAGAAACTCTTGAGTGATACTTGAGAGATTTGAGAACAAAGCTCTACGCTTTGTGTTTGAGAGATTTCTAGAGAGAGTTTGAGTGAAACATCTCTAGGGAGGTTTGATTATCACCATTGTTGGAGAGGTTGAGTTAACCACCACATTGGTGAATTTGACTATTTGTAACCATTATTTTCATAGTGGATTTTTGATCTGAACTAGGTCCCGTGGGTTTTTACTTCTTCATTGGAGAAGGTTTTCTCACGTTAAAATCTGTTTGCGTTCTTCTCTCTCTCTCTCCTATTTGCGTTTTTGATTTTCCGCTGCGCTGCCCGACCTGGTGAAGTTCAAGCCGAGGTTTTGCCGAGATCCAAGATCCAGGATCTCATTGACTGACTTCCGCAAAAGGCCCTTGAGCCGAGCTTGAGGGAACCAAGTTTCCAACAAGAAGAGGAATGAGGCATTGAGAGAATGGTCGGAAAGGTTATCCTATCCTGGTTTTAAGGTGAGTTATATTAATTAGTTCTATAATATATGTAGCGTTTATTGTATAAAAATTAGATCATGTTTTGTAATTAAAAAAAGGGTTATATTTATCTCATTCAACATGAGATAGCTCATTTTTTTACACACACATAACAAAGGTGGGTTCCACTTTTATTTTTCTCTCTCCAATCATTTGTGGGTCCCTTTTATTATTTTGTTTTACTAACATAAGATAACTTATCTATACCAACATAAGAAAAAGATTTTCCTTAAACAAAAATCTAAATTCATTTTATTTGGCACTGTGTCTAAACGAGCTTTTTTGTTTCTTTTAGAAAAAGTTTAGTGTAGGGTGCATAGGGAATGTGAAGAGAGGAAAGTGTTTAGAGGAAAGTAAAATTGTAATTCTGCATAAAATTCAAAGGTTTAGGGGGTGTATTGGATTGAGATTTCAAAGAATTTCAATGGATTATTTTTGAACAAAAAAATCCATTGGTTTCAATTAGGATTTTAAAGATTGAAAAAAAGTCATGAGATATTCGATTAGGATTTTAAAAGATTATTTTAGAGTCAGTCTAAATCCGTTGGTATTCAATCAAGATTTTAAACATAGAAAAAATAATTTTGTGGTATTCAAAAATTTGACAATTTTAATGTATTTTCCATTGGTGTGGATTTCGTGAGACTTTTTAGTAAGAAATATAAATAGGATGTCTCTCTCACAATCTCATCCTAACCCTAGGATTTCTTGAGATTTCTCTATTGTAGTGTCTTCTTCTTCCTTTGACAGATTGACCTGCTCGAAACCAGATTTTGCCATGGGAGTTTTGTCAAAGCTCAAAAGTAGCAGATTTTGAGCATTTTCCATCACAAAACAACCCAAAGACAACAATCCAACAAGATTTTAATTTAATCCATCTCAAAAACAGCATAGTTTTGAAAGAGTTTTGAGAGTTTTTGGAAGTTTAAAAAATGATTTTTTAAGCTATTGGTCTCGATTTTTCTTGACACAAAAATGTGTGAATTTTGTATTAAAAATAACATAAAACAGTGGAAAAATAACAAAGTAACAAAAAAACCCCAAAACAATTTTTGTTTTACATCTACGAAACAAGATCGATTTAAAGAAAGATTGAAACTTTTATAATATGAACCCTATGTTTCATAACAATACATTCATGAACGAAATTCCTTTGCTATAGGAAACGATTTCAAACAATTTTTGTATCAATAGATCACTAAAAACTTGTTTTTCAAAAGCCTCAAAGCAACTTAAGATTTCAATCTATCGATTGAAAATAATTTGAGAAATTTTCTAAACTTTCATGTAAGAAAACCTAAAAATTCAGATTTGAAATTTTCTTAGAATAGTCAACGAAAACATGCATATGATATATGATTAGAAAACTCTTATCATGTAAAATAAAAATCTCAAAGTTTACAAGATCAATTAAAAAATGTCATAATTTTACTGATTAAGAAAATTATATTAGGTTTTACTTTTTATTTATTAATATCATTGCTTTTCTTTTGAATGTTTATTAAAAATTAATATGATTTTTTAAAATCCTATAAATACATATTGTCGTTTAAAATCTTATAAACTCTATTGAAATCCTTTAAGATTCAATCTTATGAAATCTTGATTGTAAAAAAAATCTTTTAAAAAAGTCTTTAAAATTCCTTCAATTCTAAATAGTCTTTTAAAATTTGTAAGATTTTTTATCTCAAAAAAAGTCTTTTAAAATTTCAATCCAATACATCCCCCTTAATGTCTGTCGTATTGAAAGAGATAAAATTATTTCTTACACACACATAAATATATGGGGCTCATGTCTTCTTTTTTTCTCTTTTTTCTTCATATGACTCCATATGAGTCTAACATATTTTTATGTGTATGTAAAAGATAATTTTATCACTTATAACATTAGAAACATCATGTGCAAAATTCAAACATACAAGTCATCTTGTTATATAACAACGTCGAAATTCACTAAAGAGTAAAATTGGGTATTAGTAGACCCATGGCCCAATTCCTATCTCCTCAATTGTTATGAGATGCAGCGGGTACTCTTTCAAATGTTTGGGCTGGACTATTTTTCTTTTGGGTCGATCATTCTTATGGCTCGATGTAGTAGCTGCAATTGAATTGGGCTTGATGATTTGTGTCCCTAGGGATAGGGAAAGACATGCTCCTTGCAAGATTAGATATTGTCTACTAAACAAAAAAATCTGAGAATTATTTACAAAAAAAAAATAAATAAATAAATAAATATGAGAATTAAATATAAGTCACCAATGGAAAGTTCAACTAGGTGTACGTGTATCAACCTTGATTGACATTTTATTCTCAAGCTTAATTTCTTATATCTGCGTATTAATGTTGAAAAAAAAATACAGAAGTTGAAGCTGATTTACGAAATTATCGTTATGTTCACATTTTTCTTCCTTTCAATAAAGGACAAAATTAATAAGAGTAGGGCATTCTAATTTATCCAAACGTCAAAGGCGGGGAAATTTTTTTCTTATTCTTTTAGTTCGCTTTTCTCTAGGGAGGTATTTGATAGATGGTTTATTTTCATATTCTCTGAAAAAAAGTAAGGGTAGTAATTCAATTCATCCATATTTGATAAAAAATTTCTAAAAAATGTGATTTATCCGAAATTTTGTTTTGTGAGAAAAATTTAAACAAAATACCACCTAAGAATACTATCCAAAGAATGATATTCTCACTTTTTCATAAAAATAAAAAATATGAAAATGGATGTGCCACAAAAATATGATATGATCATGTTGGAAGATCATAATCATACAAAGATAAATTAATGGTTATGATTTCGTAAGTATCTATTTTATCATTTTTTTCTCTCTCCTCCTTTCTTTTTTACCATTGATTCATTTTGTATGGTTATAATTTCCCACATGACATGATCATGTGAATTTTCACACGGAAAGATCCAGATCCAAAAAATATAGACTAAATTTAATTTAATATTTCCAATAATATTTTAGATTACCAACTAATTTTTTTGATAACATTATCAGAAAGCTCACTTTTCTACTATATTGCCAACGATCGTAATTACTAGATAATTTTTTTTTTCTCTGTTCGTATCTTGATTACAATTCAGGTTCTACATCTTACATGTTCTACATCTTCAACCTTACATGTTTTATCTTGATTATACAATTCAGGTGGTCTTTTTCAAATAAATTTTATTTTCAAATGGGACCATCTTCGCTATTTGTATGTAAATACTGAAATATCTTCGCTATTGTGAACTCATAAGAAATATCTCCTTGGAGGTATAGCGTAGAAAAATCAGTACACAGACCACTGACGAACACAAGGAATATGTCGGTTGAAGTCTCTTGCAGCTATTTCTTGTCTTGGTCAAAAACTTCTCAAGTTCATGAAAATTCGAATTTTAACAACCCCATTATGTCAAGGTATTACTTTTTTAAAGGGTTTCAAAGCAACTACTTCATTCCCTGTTCATTTGCTAAAATGAAAAGCAACTACTTGATTGATCACATATAGAATCTTTAGAAGCATATGCCACTTGAGAAAAATTGCATATAACATAATTTTAGCTGGTTTCTATGTGCTTCTCTAATATGTTTATATAAGTCATCTTCATCTCGTGTTTTTGTACTTATAAACCTGTCTTGAAGATGGAGGCAGAACGCCAATGTAGTTAGATGTTGTAATAGAAGATCATGGGAGAAACCAATAGCTCAAAACAATTACTATGAATTGCTTGGAGTTTCTATTGATTCAAATTCCCATGAAATCAAAGAAGCTTACCGGAAGTTGCAAAAGAAGTATCATCCAGATATAGTTGGTCAAAAGGTGACTCACTTTAATGTTGTTGCTCCAAGACAGCAAAATTTTGTTTTGAGTTATAATTTGACATTCTTTTGTCAGGTGTATCTCATGATTGATGTGAAGATTGAAATTTTATGATTATTTCTAATTTTAGGGTCATGAGTATACTCTAAAGCTAAATAAGGCTTATGAAGTGCTGATGACAGAAGATCTAAGGAAAAAATATGATGAATCCATTGGTCAGATGAGGTTAAGATTTGGGGAAAACAACACTCCCTTGGGTTACAGCACATGGAAAGGGCCTTTAAGACCACAAGCTTTATTTGTTGATGAAAATGCATGCATAGGTATTCTTTACTGAAAAGTTCCTGATTTTTCATCAAAAATTATATTCAAGCATCCATAGTTCCTCTGCAGAGTAGAGAATAGGATATCAACATTATAATCTCTGATTGCAGGGTAGTTTACTAATATAATAACCAATATCCATGACCATCAGTAATAGAAACTTTTGGAGGTTTTCATTTCATAAATCTCTCCTTTCAATCCTATTGTTACCAGGATGCAGAGAATGTGTACATCATGCAAGCCAAACATTCACTATGGATGAAGCTCTAGGATGTGCCCGGGTTAAAGTTCAATATGGAGACAATGACCAAAATCTTGAGGTAAAATTTACTATGATTATGTAATGAGTGTCAGCCAAACATTCTGTTATATTTACTTCTATAAACTACTATGTTTGATGACACAAGAAAAACTTAGGTGTCTGTTGAGTCATGCCCAGTTAATTGCATACATTGGGTGGAGACAGAAAAATTGCCAGTGCTTGAGTTCCTTATCCAGCCTCAACCAAAGGATGGGTATGGTGTATTTGGAGGAGGTTGGGAAAAGCCTGCAAATGTTTTCACTGCTGCAGAGTCTTTCAACAAACAACTGAAGAGACATGCAGCAACTGGATACAATCCAAGCAATGGTAGAAACTGAGACTTCATAACATCTGTAATAAACTTGTAAAATGTTGGACTTGTTTTCTGATAAAAATGATCTTTGCCTCATTGCTGTAGGAGGGACTGTTGATGAAAGTCCTGCTCAAGCTGAAGCTAGAGCTCATGCAAGTATGAAGTTAAAGATGGAGATTTTCTTGAAAATTTGGAACTGGGTGAAAGAAACCTTGGGTATAAATATTACTTAGGGCTAAAATATGGACAAATATATGAAAGAGTTATGCTGCTTATGCAGAATATTTTATACAAATACCAATATAGAATGATGAGTCTACTTGAGATAAGGTGATTTATTAGTGTAATTTATTCTAGAGTAAATACATTTTTGGTCCTCAACAAATTTCACGATGTCCGTTTTAGTCTCTAACAAATAAAAGGGTCCATCGTGGTCCCTAAAAAATTCAAAATGGACCACTTTAGTTGAAATTGTGGTCCCTCACAAATTCAAAAAAAACTCATATTAATCCCTGAAAGGACTAAAATGAGTCCATTTTGAATTTCTTAGGGACCACCATGGGCCTTTATATTTACTAGGGACTAAAGCGGGCATCATGAAATTTGCTAAGGACAAAAAATGATATTTACTCTTTATTCTACTAGACACATAATTCTGATTTGGATCGCATATTTTTTACATTTTCTGAATTTAGTAAAAGCTGTGTCAGGGTAATCTTGGACAAATGGAAAATATCTTTAGCTGTAAAACTAGTACATCCTTTATTATATATGGAAAAAGTAATATAACTGACATTTTTCATTTTATTCACCCTTTTATGGTTATTTAAATCGCATATTGTTTTATTTTTAATATAAGAGTATATATTCCCTAGTACCAAAGAAATGCTCGGACATATGAGGAACTTGATAACTAAATAACTATCTGGGTGGGCGCGGGTGTAGGCCACGAAGGTTAGGAGATTAGAGAAATAACTACCTGTAACTGAAAGATGGAAAAGGGAACATAAAAGGAAGAACGGACTTAGGTGAGTTAAGCAGTTAGTCACAAAGGAAAGTTAGGCCACAGAACCTTTCTCTGGAGTTTAGGCAGAATGTAATTCCTGTTTTGTAATCAAGATTCATCTCGTATATAGGTGAAATTATCAATAAAATTACATTCTTTTTATGCTCTTACAGTTCGCCCATGGTACATGATTCAATCATTGATTCAAGAAACTCGCAGTCCACTAGAGTTGTGACCTAATAAGTATGACTTTGAAAAAAATAATGATTTGAAATATAACAAATTACAATCTAATCCAAGTCCCAATAAAGCGACAGATATGATTGTGATTTGTTTGAAAAGAAAAAGAGAGCAACACAATTGACGTGATTTGATTTGAGATTAAAGATTTGGGATATATTTTGAATGATTTAATTGTAATTATTTATTTATTTTTAGAGGTTAATTACTGTTATATTTATTTTATGAAGTTTTATTATTTTTAAAATTTTAAATTTTAAATTTTTGATCAATTTGTAATTAGTCTATAAAAAGGTGCTTAAGACTCTTATTTTAGAAGTTGAATTTTGTTATTTTGTTATTTTAGAAATTGAATTTTATTATTTTGTTAATAAAAATTGAGAACCAGGAGTTGCTCTTTTGTGAAATCCTAACTTTCTGCACTTTCGACATCACTTTTTCCCGATTCTTGACCAGTATGTTCTAGATTCTTAATAATCTTTTATCAGAAACAAACTGAAGCTTACTAAAGAAAAATATTAAATAAATTGTAGATAGAAACCAGGCATGAAACATTATCTCAAAAAAGTGGTTAAGTGCAGAATAGCAGCATAATACAGGACTCCCACAGCTGCTGGAATATGAGAGACGTTTTCTTGGGCTCTTAATAATTGATTTGTCAGAAAAAAGAGAGAACAATATGGATTGACAAAAGTACCAAAATTTAAAAAATGAACAAAACAAAAATAAAAATATAAATATAAACAAAATGCATATGCACATCTTACAACGGTCTCCTAATAAATACATTATTAGAACTCTTGAATAACAGTCAAGAAGACGTTTTGAAAATGGAACATCTTATATAAAAAATATATTTGATATTTTCGAAATAGAAAAGCATTTTGTATAAATTTGAAATCTATTGTATTTTTTTATTCTTATTTATTTCTAAAAAGTTAGTGATCAGACCAAATACAGTATGGACTGGCCAATGTGTACTAGGCCAAATCACACACGGTTGACGGAGAAGGCCTTTATGTTGATCTGCTTTCTGGGCTTTAAGTAGTAGTTGATGATGTAAATACTCTGATTCTCATTTGGCGCGATGATTCAGACTGGGGGTACCTGCGATGACACTCCGACGCTCAAGTCAGTATCAATAGCAGGTATATGTGTATTCTTACTGAAATTAGTTTCTCATACATGGGCATATACCCTCTGTTTATATAATGGTTGTGATGCCGCCTTATGAAGGCGGTATGGCCTCGAATTGGCCGCTTTAGGGCTGCAGGTTCAGCATGTGCCTTAATAGCCTTATCTCTTAATGCCAGGATACTTTGATAGAGTACTGGCAAGCTGGTGTTGTCCTTTGTCTATTTGTTCAATAGCGCGGTGGACCTTTGTTAGTTCCTGTGTTGGCTTCCTTATCTCTGAAGTTATGTTAAAGGGCGGTTTTGTGCGCGATGGTGTCATCGTGCCATGCTTATGCGCGATGTGAGTCATCGCGCCTTATACTGGGCTTTAAGGGTTTTGGGTCTTGTCCTTATGTACATGGGCCTTTAATGGGCCTATCATATTTTATTCAGATCAGTTGTCCCTTAGCTCGCAGTTTTGGTATGTGGCAAAGCTGTGAGATATATATATGCATTTATACGCGTTGTACCCTTTTAGCGCGATTATTTTAATGTCGCAATAACCATGTCGAATAGTCATAATGACTTAGCCGCTTAAAAATGGTTGATTAGATGTTAACTGTCAGAACCATTTAATGCCACCATAATTACGTGGGTGTTTAATGGCAATCATGGGCTGTTTTAAAGTTAAAACGTTTTGCCTTCTTCCCACGTGTCCCCCTTATTATCCGTTTTACACAACATGTTTTAACCTTTTGGGTATCCGTTTGGTAAAGTTTTCATATTTGTACTGAGCTGCTGAGTGTGAAGGGAAAGCACGCAGAGCACTCATCATGACCGTGAGAGACCTTGCTTCCCCTACTTATGATTTTTGGTGTTGACACGTTCTGTCCTCCTTCCTTTCATCTGAAGTATATATTGGAGGTATGTTCATTTCCCCATTGTTAGTCTTCTGTGTTCTTGCTCTGTTTATTTGCTCTCTTCTGGATTTTCGAGCTATGGGTATGTCTGATAGTTGTAAATTGTGAACTTTATCAGAATAGCTGAGAGGTCTGGCTCTTCTAGTCCTCCTCCCAGGTCTTTACCTAGGTCGAGGTCTTTAGAAACCGGGGAAACGTGGCTTACTGGCAAGTGTGCTGCCCACTGGAAGAAATTAATTTTGAACGATAACCGTGCGCCCTCTATTCGACGGTTTGAAGTAGGTTCCTCCTCTCGAGAACCTAATCGCGAGATAACAAAAACACTATCTCAACAAAGCTCATCCCTTTTTCCAAAAGTTTTCTTTAAAATGACTAGTCCGATTTTGATTTCGAGTGATTCGGCCTCGAGTTGTGATTGTAGTCATAGGTCTGTTAATGCTGTAAACCCCGAATCTACCCCTTCAACTTCATCGCACGATACTTCTCATCCCATCGCGCGAGATCAACTTGGTCAAAGTAGTCCAAGTCCCTTGCCATTAAATGTGATATACCCAGCGGGGTACCCATATAAGAAAAATAATTTTGACAATTATAAATTTGTATTTTTTGTCTCTTCTTCTTCTGACTCGTCTGTCTCTACTGATTCCTCCTCTTCTGAATCAGATTTTGTTTCGCCTAAAATTAAAGAAATTATGGCTAGGCGTGGTGCTGGTGATCAGAAGAAAAAGCAAAAGCTTAATCCTGATGCGAAGAAGAAAGCACTGCAGATTGATCCTGAAACAACCGGAACGGTCAAGTGCAATCTTCGGGATGAAGAATCCTTGAGCTGGGTATCAGACGTTATCTTGGATACTGCTTCCACATATAGTTCTTCAAAAGAATTGGCACAATTAAAGGTTGTCATCCATGTCACCCCTGAAAAAGCTCATAATGACAAATGGGAGATAAATGTCATTCCCTTAAATGAACGTGTGTGCTCTACGCGCGATGAAGGATCTACCAGACATTTTATCATGATGTATGCCCATTTCTTTCTGTCCATAAGAGTTCTTCTGTTGTTCTCCTCCTTCGTTTGTAGGTTGTTAGCGCATATAAACGTGGCGCCTTCAGAATTGACTCCCAATGCCTGGGGTTTTATATGAGTTTATGAGATGGTTTGTCAAGATTACAATCTGTTTCAATCTCCAGAATCTTTCTTGTGTCTGTTTAACGTTATGGGACCGCATTCCAGCTGGGTCTCTTTTAGAGGGAAAGATAAGTGGAAGTTCTATGCTTCTTATCAAAGGAAGGTTCACAAGTGGTCTACAGACTACTTTAAGATTTTCCCCGCCAAAGATTCCCAACCATTTTTCTTGAACAGAGAAGACGATTCTCCTGTTTTTCCTTTATACTGGACCCAGCAACCATTAGAGGGTCGAAAATTGAACTATAACTTTGATGACTTGAGTGATTACGAACAACACACGGTGACTACTTTATGTAACATCGCGCGAGAAGCATCGAATGATTCGGATTACTTAAGTACCTTTACAATTTTGAACGAATATACTGATGAAGATATCTGAGCTTTCTTGGGTAAATTGACTTTTATTTTTTGTGGTTTTATCTGAAGGAACTATTCATGTTTATTTATTGATTTTTGTATATGTCTAACGCGGATTCTTTAATTCTTTGCAGATAGTTCAATGGCTGCTTCTTTGAATAGGCTACAGAAGATAGCGGCAATGCGAGCTGCTGGAGATGCCGGCCCTTCTGTTCCTAATGTGCCCCTTATTGCTTCTATTTCAGCTGGTGCTGAATCAAGTGGGGGTCCTGCCGCGCGAATGAAGTCGGCTGGTCCTCCCTCTGTAGCTACCCATGTCGCCTCCCCCAAAAAGAAAGAGGTGGAAAACTCACCGCGAGGAAAGAAGAGAAAATCCTCAAAGACTAATGAGGGTTTTCCAGAATTAGTTTATTTTGGGGAAGGTTGGGGCTTTGATGCAGATATGTACGCGAAGAGGAAAGAGATAGGTCCCCGCATTGAAGAGCTTCCGATGGACAAGTGGTTGTCAACCTCTGGGAAACTGAGTATCGCCAACCAGTTCATCATGTTTGTGCCTGGTAAGTGATTACTATATACTTTATGTATTTAAAACTTGGTTTCAACCATTTTAATGTAATATTTTCTTTGTGGCAGGGACGATTGGCTATCTAAAGGAGCGTATCGTGGACATGAAGGGTGATATTTTCCTTCAGCGCACGGATTTTGAAGAAAAGCTGAAGAAGGTGGAAGACGAAATGACAAAAATAAAGCAGCAGCTGAAAGAGGTGAAAGCAACAAATAAAGAATTAAAGATAGAGAAGATTGATTTGAG